AACGGCAAACGTGAATTTATACCAAGGAACCAAGTTTTCCCCTTAATTGTCGTTTACTGTTTATTACTTCCACTCAAAAATAAGTAGTTTCACGCCAGTTTTATCCATAAGAATTGTCCTGGACAGTTTTTATCCGCTTATTTTCTGTTGTGAGAAATTCTCAACTTCAATCTCACGTTTGCCGTTTGCCATAAACGTGACTTTTAATCTCTCTAATAGTGATTTTGTACCTTGACATGTCCTTCTCTCTCCACTTCCTTTCACAATAAAGCCAGTGTTCTCGCAGTCACAAGCAAAAGATCCATTTTTCTTAAGACACTTGAGATTAGAGGGACAAGACTTCCCTATCTTGTCGCACTCATCCATTTCTGTAACAGAGAGGGTAGAGTAATGAATAATCAATCTAGTGGTCTTCGTTCAATTACCACAGGCAACCCAAGCTCATTTGGATGACGGCAGGATATATGCAATATGAGAGAAGGAGCAGTCCAAAAAAATTCTCTAATAAATCGATGTTCTTCGAAACCTTTTTTTTTCATTTTTCCAAGAAACTTAGAACAAAAAACTTTTAATAGGGCCGGTTTTTTAAACAAAGTCTAATTTAGACCGCTGTTTAGGAAATCTTTAGACCTGCAGATCTCTTCCTTAGTGGGTTATTTTAAGAAGACAATTGCTTTTCTTGTCTACGCTATACGCTTTCATGTAACTGTTCACAATAACCGTTGTTTACATAAAAGCGTTCGACAAACTGAAAATGGCTTAGAACGGGGTTTTGTCTTAAACACTGGCTAAACTCAGTGCGAATTACCAGCCCTTAGAGTCTATTCAGTCCCCGGTTGTTCAAAAGTTGGTTAACACTATCCAGTGGACAGGTCTTACGAAAACCGATTGCGTAATCCTTTGGATAGTTTTTATACGGTGGATTGCACTATCCACATTTCCAACAACTGGGGCCTGAAAAAATGAACATTATCTTACCTTTGCAAAATCTTTTCTTTCCTTCTCCTTTAACCACGGAGTCAGCTTTCTCGCAGCCACATTCATGAGTTATATTGTCTCGTGTTATGCATTTTAATCTCGAAGGACAACTATTCCCTCGCTTGTCGCACTCATCCATGACTGAAAAAGATACTTTTAATTACCATTAAGTGTCACAACTTTCAACTGCGCCGTTACGATTACTCTTTTTTTATTATTGTTTTCTCAAATCCTAACTCTTTGTGTCAAATATGCTGTATTCTCAAGAAGAAAGAGAGGCCCTGGGACGAGGTCAGTGGATACAAACACAGTCAACATACATAAATATGGTTTAACATGCCATTTCCCAGTTCCAAAAATTCACACTTTCAAAACGAGGCTAGACCTTTCTTGTGAAAGTGAGTTTTATTTGTAAGAGATTCAAAGTCATTTTTAAATCAATGGCTTCGCACTACGCCCCGCTTTGACACAGAGGCTTTGGGTAACTCGGAAAAGGACTATCATACATGCTACACCGTCAGTTTAAAAAGGTTAAATGAGGTACAGTGAATTAAGAGACTTCACACACTGATTTACAGGCAATAGCGATTTCAGAAATCGGAGAATCGTTTTCGTTGAATAATAGTGTAGCGTTTACCTGAGAAATTGTGAATGTTCAAAGTAAAATGCAAAAAACAAAATTAATCTCCAAAGAAGAGACTATGGCCAGGATACTGAGGATTGCTAAGTCAACTTAACATAATCTGAAATAAGTGTCAGTGCTCATGAGTCCCAAGCAAACGCCACAACTTTAAAAAAAGAAGTTGGACTTCCAGGAACTCGTAATCAAGTAACGGTACGCACTGATACGGCTGTGTAAAGCTTGTAATGAAAGACTCATATCCAATCGCTATTTAAGAGTTTTCGGGTGAGAGAAGAATAGGGCTTAAATGACGCGCGAGTCCCTTCCCATGACACCGCGTGCCTTAACCTAAGCCCAGTCTTCTCTCACTTCTCTCGCCGTAAATACACATAAATAGCGACTGGGTAAGAGCCTTTTGCAATGATACCTTGACAAGATCTCCATTCTCCTTCTCCTATCACCTTGTAACCAGCAGAACAGCCACATACGTGTGATCCATTGGCCTGTTTTAAGCATTGTAAACCAGAGGGGCAGCTGTCTCCTTGCTTGTCACACTCGTCCAGAGCTGAAATAATTATTCATAAAATGCTTTGGCAACTATTCACCTGCAGTAAGGTTGGAGCGATAACGCTCTCAGAGAGTTCGCTCAAACTTCACGACCATCGTGGCAGTTATTGGAGGGGGGCGGGGATGTTTGCCGGAGTGCGGAGGAATGGGGAGCAGACCAAACATCAAATTATTGATACCCAAAATAGCAATGGTACCTTTGCAAGTCCTCGCCTCTTCATAGCCAACCACCTTAAAACCAGGATCACAGCCACAAGCAAACGATCCCTTTCGATTGAGGCAAAGCAGCGCAGAGGGACAGACATCTCCTTGCTTAACGCATTCATTTTTCGCTGAAATAACAAAAATTGCGTTAGTAAGTCATAGCTATAGCAAACTTTATGGCCTACTTTCTGTACTAATATTACGGAAGAGTGTGGGTCAGACAGACACTCCACATTCACATTGTGACGACAGTCTTTTTAGAAAGTCAAAAGAACAGTCCACCATACTCTTAATGTGGGAGCTTAAGCAATAACGATGGCGACAGCTACGAAAACATCACTTAAAAAGTCCTGGAAAAATTAATCGATTGATCCAACACTGTATATTACCTTCACACTTCGTTCCCTTTCCACTCCCTGTCTTTTTATAACCTGGAGCGCAATCACAAGCATGTGATCCGTCCTTTTGTTTCCAACACTTTAAAGGAGAATGACACGTCTCTCCTTTCTTTATGCACTCGTCGTTTGCTGAAACAATAGTTGATTTGTAAACGCCATTAATTAAGTCTAACTAAAATGTGCGTCACCAATCTCGAAACAAGATGGTCGAACCAATTGTACAATGTCCCTAGGCAAAAGAACGTTAGTTTTCTATTAGCTTCGTGGCACTAAAAATGAAACCCAATCATTTTGTAACCTGATAAGGTAAAAAGGGTAAAGGCGCACATGAGCCAAAGGCCCAAACGGCTGGAGCTTATCTCGGTTTCCGTAGTATGAAGCATGCCTTAGAGTATTGCTAGTTCCCCCTGAACGGGATGCTGGTCCATCGCAGGGTTTCCCCCAGCAGTGTGTCGCCTGTACCCAATTATACACCTGGGTGAAGAGAGACAAAGTGGAGTAAAGCTCCCTGTCGAAGGAAACAACGCGACGGGCGAGGCTTGAACCCTGGACCTCCATATCCAGAGTTCGAGGTGTTCCACACACGCCTCCACATTTTGTAATCTGCTTATAGCCTAAACCTCCCTAAGCGTTACGCCTTAACGTGGTGCCTTGGTGATCCTGGAAGTAATACCAGTAGGGATCTCGTTCCCTGGTTGGTTCAACCGTGCTGGGAAAGTATTCGGTTAAAGGCCAAATCCTGGCCCTCCAGTTTGGGAGTTGAAGGATGGGTTAAGGCCCATTCCGGTACAAAATATCATTACAAAGTCCAGATGCACTTTTTAAGATAGCAGTTGGTGGAGAACTGTGGAGGGTTTATGCACAACAGAGCTCGAGCGAAGTGGTGACGTGAGGTGAGGTGATAGTCTTAAGCTCTTACAGGGACATTTAATCTTTTACCTCTTCTCCACTTTTTCTGTGAAATGTCTTTCATCATCTTGCTTAGTATTTGAAAAATTGAGATGGTCTTTGATATACCAAAGCGTTTTAATATTCTCTAGAATCTTGTCAGGGTAGATTACATAGAGAGTTTTCAATCGCGAGGTTAGCATCTTGGAAAACGTATTAAATAAACGAAAGTGTCTACACAGAGAGAGTGCAACTCCCACAGGATTGGCTTTGTTCACCAACGTTGCAGCTGTATCATTGTTTAGGACCAATAATGAATATGGGTGCTGTGACGTCATCGGAAAACGCTTGCTTCGGGACCCTCTTGTTCAAAAGCTAGATAACGCTATCCACCGGATTAAGATTTATCCAGTGGTTTCCCTAATACTATAATGATTCCGCTGGACAGTTAATTATTCAGTGGATAAGGGACTGGCCAATAACCCTTCTTGCCGATGACCGAGCGCTAAAGCGTTAAGATGTCATTACTGGTTGCGCATACAAAAGGGCTAGATGGCTCTGGGGCGGATCCAGGATTTTTTTAAGGAGGGGGTGCACTCGTCTCTTGATCTTCTTCAACACCAATAAACCACACAGTTTTTTTTTTTTTTGCAGAATACCAGTTGTACTAGAAAACCGCAAGTCATCTCAGGGAGGGTGCGAACCCCCTGCACCCCCCCCAGATCCGCCCCTGTGGCTAATATAATCCAACAAGCCTCCTAGCAAATAAGATCAATAAATGGGAACAGTCTCAAATACCTTTGCAAAAGGCTTTATCTCCAGAATTCGTCAAAGTCCAGCCATCATTACACATACAATAGAACTCGTTATCAATTTTCGTGCAAATTAAGTTGTTGGGACAATAATAGCCTTTCTCCTTACACTCGTCCTCGACTGAAATACAAAACAGTTACTAAAGTGATGAGTTTATGCGTAATTAATTAATAAGTTCGCTAACTTGAAACTTCAATTCACATGAGATTAAAATACTACCGTAACGGCAGAACAGCTGGTAGAAGCCCTCCTAACGGATAATCTCATAAGCGGAGAGTTCTACTTGCTCCAGGCTACTCTACTTACGGCCACCTTCACGGCCGTTTAACCTTCCCACAAACTTTGAAAACTGTTTCGTTTAAACTTTAAAGGGAACCCCTGCAAAAACTCTCTAAATTTGTGTCAATCTAAAATATTTTTAAAGAAAGCGTTTGTATCGCCTATTTTTGATATACAAGGATAACCATCAATTGAGGTTTCTATTGATTAAACAAAAGCTCTTTGTGTCAGAACAATAGAGCAACCGTAACACCTTCCCAAAGATTTTAAAAAAATTAGCACTTTTTTTACTTTTTTAGGGCATTTAAACTTAATTGTGACTTAGGCCAAAAATTGTGACTTAGGGCAGGGGTAGGTGGCCTAACAAGAATATGACAACACGTCTTTCCAGTCGGTAAGTTACGAGTAGGGTTTGACCGTTAGGGAAATTGGGTCGACCTGGAATGATTTTACAGATTAGGTCATATGACCTAAATGCTGGTTCCTGATTGGGTACCTTCACACTTCGCTCCTTTTCCACTCCCTGTCTTTTTATAACCTGGAGCGCAATCACAAGCATGTGATCCGTCCTTTTGTTTCCGGCACTTTAAAGGAGAATGACACATCTCTCCTTTCTTTATGCACTCGTCGTTTGCTGAAACAATAGTTGATTTGTAAACACCATTAACTCCAACAAAAATGCGCCTTACGAATCTCTCAAGACGGGTTGTTTGATTAGCTAACGGAACACTGACAATAGATGAGCCAAATGTACAATTTGCCTGGCCCTAAAGAAGGCGTGTATTCAAAGGTAAATGAACATAGTGGAATCGAAGGGAGCTTTCGATAAGTCAAAACTGGCCGGCCGCACCATGGCCGAACACGTTATTTTGACAATGATAAATGCTCTTTCAAAACATTTTGTTGAAACGCCCTCTCCGTCGTGCATACCATTTAAAATTTGACAAATCCCTGATTGAAAAGTAATAATAAGTGAATTTCTCATTACGACGGAAATGGTTTGGCCGGCCAGTTCTGACAAATGGAAAGCTCCTTAACAGTTTCGTGGCTCTAGAACTGAAAACGGATCACTTTGTAATCGTTTTATAGCCTTAACTTCCACAAAGGGAAGTTATGCCACTTGAGTCCAGGCTCCCGGTGGGTTCAACCATGCTGGGCAGATTTTGAAAGGCTAGACGAATTGCAAAGCCTGACACCTCCAGTGTGGGGGTGAATGATTTGTGCATGTCCATCCCCGCAAAAAAAAAACAAAAAAAAAAAACATCACTACTAAAAAAGTATACACTTTTCAAGATAACAGTCTGGCAGAGAAGTATGGAGGCCTTACGCGTAACAGGGCGCGAAGAGGAGTCGTGAGCTGAGGTTATAGTCAAGTGCCTAAATGTGTTACGAAAGGTTTTTCAGGTAGAAAGTAAAATTTTCTGAAGTTGAAAAAAATATCGCTAAGCTTTGTGATCTTAAAGCAAATCACGTAGGCGTTTGCACCTGTCGATGGAAAAATCCTAACAATATACTGAAAATGAGCTCTAGGTAGTAAAGGTATGAAGATCAGAATAGAATATTTATAGAATTTCCTCCTTTGGTATTCTTAGGGTTGATTTCCACTGTCGCGTATTTTAGTTATTTTTTCCGAGCGAACGCACGTAAAATTTACGTGGGTAAAAGAAAAATGAAATAGAGGCATTGTATGAAAGGCTACGCATTCACGTGAAAGTTTAAGAGGTTAACTTTTACGTTTACGTGGGACCTTCCTTACATTGCCTCTATTTTATTCACGCATGTAAATTTTACGCGTTAACACACGTAAAAATTACGCGACAGTGGAAATCCAAATTTACGCGTAGGAAAGTGAGTTATACTATTAGCTGTAACTTCTATATGACGATTAGCCTTTCAATAAAAGCTCAAAGTTCTGCCCGTAACTGAAAGAGTCAAGGCTAACAAGAAAACGACATGATCCTGAACGAAGTAAGTATCCACTTGATTTAAGGATCCCAGTTCGTAGCAGGGCACCTCTCGCTCAACGATGGACAATAATTCCACCAATACAAAACCCTGTTACAAATGGGAAGCTTTTTCAATTCCCACAACATTCGCTTTGTACACCAGCATGGCCGCCGTTTCATTGTTTCGGAACTGACCAATAATGACAGTATGGACGCTGTGACGTCACGTGGAAACGATCTACACTCATAAACGATTGCTTACAACGATATTATACTCCCTACTTACTGACCAAGAGCGAAAGCGGTAAGATATACCGGTTGCACACAAAAGAGATAGATGTCTACTGATATAATCCAACAGTATTTCTAGCAAATAAGAGCATTAAATAAAATGGAACACTCTCAAATACCTTTGCAAATGGCGTGTTTTCCAGAATTCTTCATCGTCCAGCCCTTATTGCACGAACAATAGAGCTTGTTTTTAACTTTCACACAAATTAAGTTGTTAGGACAATAATAGCCTTTCTTCATACACTCGTCCTCGACTGAAATACAAAACAGTTGCTAAACTGGTGAATTAATGCGTAATTAATTAAGGTATTTATTTATTCCCTAATAAAAATGTAGAATTCGCTTGAGATTAAAATACTGTTTTACAAGTCTTCTATTCGGGCCTCAGTTTGATCTAAAAATAAGGGGGAGCCAGGCCCCCGGGCCCCTTCTCTGATCCACCACTTCTTTCCAGTCAGTAAGTTAGGCAGGTTTAGGACGTTAGACCGTTAGGGAAATGGGACTTACACCTATC